TGGATGCCCCCTCCCTGGAAGTGTTCAAGGCCAGGTTGGATGGGTCTTTGGACAACCAGGTCTAGTGGAGGGTGTCCCCTGGCCGTGGCAGGGGGTGTGGAACTAGATGATCTTTGAGGTCCCTTCTAAACCTAACCATTCTATGATTCTATGAAATACACATAGAGTGAGCAGACAGTCACTTTGTTTCATTGCCTTGAAGCAACACCTTTGGATTCCCTTAAAGCAGCTATTCCCTCACACTGGCTCTTGTTCCTCAAACCACTTTTGACCAAGTCCCCTTCTACATTCTTTTAACCACTCTTGATTGAGAACAAGTAACACTGGGGCAGAAGAAAAAACTCCCAAACCAACAAAAGTAATCATTCAACTGGTGATGATTTTGTTAACAAAAAGTGGTTAATTTTCACATTTGTCAGTTACTTCCCTGTATTTGTTACCATTTGTTTCACCTACTGCATTAATCCACCCACCCTTCTCCTCTGATCTCAGGTTTCCACATCCCTCCAAATTTAAACTGGGGAACAGAACCTACCCTCTTCCATCTGAGAGCAGAGCAAGTGCTATGAAAATGAAAGGCAATGTCTACACTGAAATGACCCACAATCATCTGGAAAGTACCAAAGATGACTCTTGATATACTTTGAAATACTCACAATATTGCCAGAGGCATTCATATTCTATTAACTGGGGGAAAGGAAGGAGAAAAGAAAGGAGGGAGAGAGAAAAAGAAGAGCTGAAACTCAAGTCAGTGAATTGTGCCTGTTCCCAAGTCTGGGATCAGCATGAACTGGCAATTTCTTGTGCATGTTACATAGTATTTGTGTTGTTGAAATATGTACACAATGCATAGCAGCAAACCAGAGACAAAACAGATTTCCTTGTAGGATGAGGTTTTAAAATATTAGGAAGCATGCATATAAGATGATGCATTCCTTTAAGGAATATACACAATTTGGTGCTTGTGTGCATGTAATGAGAGTAGACAGAAGTCACTTCTTGACTTCTTTATTTGATTTTAACAGATACAACATATGTATTAAAAAGCCCATCAAATTATTTTTCCTATGCCATTTAATACTGTTCTTTCCCTTGCAATACAAATCAGATTTCTGGTTTCTGCACTTTCATCCAAAACATTCTATTTACAGAGGCAGGCAGTGTTTAATGTGACAGTTACGAAATAATGATTATCTTTGTTATTGAAAGACCTGCCAATAAACTTCTGCAGAGAGTTGTGACTGGATCACTACTCCCTGGTATGACCACATTTACAGCCTGACTCATCTACATGCACTTTTATCATTATCTTGCCTTCTGCAGTTGTCATTTCTTGTTTTGATATATGTAAACCAGCTACCAACTAGATTTTACATCCTACTTTTCTCCATTATTTCATGTTATGTAATGAAAAATATTTTCCAAATATGTTTAATCCTCAATGGAAAGATCACACAATGTATTTCATTTTATTTCATTTCATATCAAGAGTATAAAAAAAAAAAAGGCTTTCAATTGTTTGGTAGTAGTAAAAGAAACTTGGCAGTAGTAAAAGAAACTCCATTTGTCACATTTACATTCTACAATTTGTAGATACCTTTAGAATAGCACGAATACAGGTCACGCAATCAATAACCGCAGCAGGAGATACAACTTTCTCAGAATTTCCTCCTGGGTATTTGTTCTTCCAAAGATTCAGTGCAGACATCTGAACTTTTATTTCACAGTTCATTTTATCTGAGCTAATGATTCTGTTGTTGTACTAGTCAATCAGTGAAGCCGTTCTAATTTAGCCTGTAATGATTTAAAATTCCCAATGGTAGTCTGCACCGTTAGTGTCGGGCTCATAGACTGAAGTTCAACCAGGTAACAACTAACAGCATCCAAGCAAACATTTGTGAATCTTCGCCTGTAAAGAACACAGAATAATAACAAGCTCCTTTTTAGTTCTGTATATAAGAATTCATCTGAAATAGAAAGTGAGCATTCTTTGAGTATTAGTGGAATAACATATCAGCAAGACTGTCAGATAATTTAAGTATTTAACTATTCATTAGAAAAGCTGATTTTTGAAATCTAATGCTCGTGACTAAGGCATAATGGGAAAATAAATGAATCATTACTATTTATCTGATATTAAACAAAAAAATGATACTTAATAGCAACATGAAATAGTCAATATTTACCTATAACTTTAGATATGAATACAATCAATGGATAAGTTATTTAGATAGCAATGTATATATCTAAAATTACTATTAAATCAAACAATTTAGGTATTAATATCTAAGTAGATATTAGACAACATTCACTAAAGTTCTAGTAAGTTAGAGGATTTAAATCAGCTCACCATAAAAGACCAAAAAAGTGAGAAAAAAACAAACAGATGTAAACTCTGTATGTGAACAGGGCATATTTACTTGTATATTTCCAAGAGAATTAGAAAAATTTATGGTTAGAAGAGTTATCACTGCTTTGCCTAGTTGTTCTGCTCATTGCTTCCGAGACAAGATTGGTCTGAATTAAGTTTGTATAGTCTATTCACAAAAGTTGCCAAACCTAGAGATTCCATACCGTGCAGGCAACTTGTTCAAGTACATAGTTATTCTTTTAGCTAGAAATTTTTTTCTAATATTAAACCTAAATTCTTTCCTGTTACAGACTAAAACAATTGGGGAAGATCTGTCCCCATGTTTAGTGTTCTCTTTTCCAGAATACAAGAACTCAGTGCTTCTAGCCATTCTTCATTAAACAATTCACTGGTTCATTCACAAAATGCCCCATTCTCATTTTTCCACACTTTTCCCATATTCCCTCAAATTTGTCTGTACTACTCTCTAAAGTATGGTGCCAAAATTTACAAAATAATCCTCTCAGTTCCTCATGAATCTTCAGGGAAGTGAAGAAAACTATCTTTGTTGAAGTAGTTTATAGGGAGGACCTAGGGTTTTGATCTTCTACCAACTGGTTTGGAATGAGAAGTCTCAGTAATCACTGCTTGGAAAGAAATACTAAATTCACCCTGAAGAAAACAATGAAAGCTTTGGGGATTGCTGAAGTGCAAGTACTTTAGGATATTTCATATCTTTCGCTATTTATTAAAATACAGTTGCCTTTCTTACCTCAGAAGTACTCTGCTTGGATCATGTACATATCCTGATAACAATACATGAATACACTCTAAAAGATGTAAAGGCTTTTTCATTCTATTCCAATATGGGTCCTAAAAAAAGATTCCAAAATATTAAGGAGACAAATTTAAAGAGACAAGAAAAAAAAAAGTGTGTGTATACGCACAAATTGCCAGCTGTGGTAATTATTTACTCATTGTAACAAAAATGTAAGAGAAATAGGAATTCTGTCTTAATCTATATTAAGTCTATATTTAAGTACTATGTTGACTTTTGAGTACTAAAACATACATGAATTTAACTCAGTTTTCGATTATCTAACAGTCTGTAAATAATACATTTTAGGAAGTTCTGAATTCCTTACACTGTGAGGAATCTGGGTAAAAAAAACAAGTCAACTATCTTTGTTTTAATTCTGTTTAAGCCTGTTCTACAAACCAAAAGTTAAAAATATGACTACTTATTCTTTATGCCTATTGCATCCATAGATTAGACAAGATGCAGTAATACAGCAAATTTTAGTCATTAACAGGAAACAAACAAAATGAATATATTCAAGATATGCTGTTTCTTCTGCAACATAATAGGATTCTAATCCTATTTAATTGTAAATCAGCTTTAGGTGAAGTAAAAGGATTAACAATTTTCCTCATAATTTAGGATTGAAGTGAATAAAATCAACAGTGAAAAAAACCCAGCATTGAGAGCCTTTGAGTAAAAAAAGATAACAAAAGCCATGAAGTTGTGATTTTGCTATATCACACCTTACAATACTTTATGTTTCCTGCCAAAGACAGATCTTGATAGTAGTTGAAAAAAAAATTTTCATTTTGTGGCTATTTTCCTTACCCGTGCTTTGAACAACTGGTCATATACTTCAAGCAGCTTTGGCAATGGCACTCCAATTTCTTGCATGGTGTATGTTACAAAACCTACATCCCAGTTCAAAGTGCAGACCTGTTGCTCTAGAAACTGCACTAAAAAATCTGGAGGACAAAAACAATCAGATGTTTAGATTCCAACTTGTTAATGGGAGTCTAGCAAAGAAAGGCATTTGAAAGTGATTTACTCCAAGTTTAATTTTCTGTCTTCCACACAGTTCGTACCTCTCTCCATGAAGCACATATAACAGTTTTCCCCAGTCTGCACCGAGGGAAGGATATGCAAAATATAACTACCTCCAAAGATGGTATTAAGCTATCAGCAATGCAGGACAGGGATTACTCACACTAAATACTTTATTATAGCTCTGCCACAGAACTATGCTCTTAAGAAAAGTTCATTAACTTCTGTTTCAGCACAGAAGAACATACTATCGTTTCATTTGCTAGAATAGCCAGCAACACTACTGCATCTTTTATGATGTTTATGTGTCAGTAACAATTAACAATATATTGTTCAGTACTAAATTATTTACAGTATTTAGTACATTTAGTGCTGAACAATATATTTTCCAGGTTTTTATATAATACCAAGTTGTCAAAACATGTGAGGACCTCAAAAGCAGAAAGAAGCTCCAAAAGTATCTAGAAATCTTAATTCTGTTTTTAGAATCTGCCCCTGAAGATAGCAGTAAATACTTCAAAAGACAGCAGATAAATGTGGTTGCCTAAAATCTCATTATATGTATAAATAGACATTTTTACTTTGTACTTTGATACAAACAAACTTTACTACTTTCTAAAATGATATCTGCACAACCATCCAAAAATAACTGTTGCTGCCTTCTAAGCTTCATTTACTTCCCATTCAGAAGAAAAACTGTAAATTCTGGTTAAATACCTAGCTAAATTCTAAGAAAAACTGCACCTGTAAAAACTGTAATGGTTTTGTAATCATACAATTATACTGTGTTTATAAAATTAGAAACCAATAGGAATTCTATTTCTACTTTTTGTCTAACCTTCCTCTCCCCAATCCCTTGTCAAAGTCACTGTAATAATGAGCAAGTATCACAATTCTTTGGTTCCTAATTTCCTAGACAAAACTGAAAAGTACTACCCAGCCACCCTTGATATCAACTCCATCACTACTGACAGTTGAAATAATTCGTTGCTTCAGGTACAGCAAAAAATTTCACAAATAACTACAGTAACTATGTATCACAAGCATGTAATTATGTATCACAAAATTATCAATATTCTTTCCTTCTAGATTTTAAAAAAGGAGACATTTCTTAGGTTAAAACTTTTTTTAAGAGGCTAAAAAGAAAGCTGAGACCCATTCATGTAATGTGTCTGTCCGTTTACTATTCAGGCTAAACAACTTACCTAAAGGAAAGTAACGAGGTGTTCCAGCATATATCTTTCCAAGCAATACCATCTTCAGACTAAGTGCTTGCATTCTGTCAGCGGGGCTCAGAGACACACTATCACTCAACTCTGAAAGTGAAAATAAATCATTAGGAGAGAACACATTTACACACAACTAAACTGAGATACTTAAATTTACTATTAACACATCAAAATCTTACGCTATTGTCAGTGTAAAAAAATCAGCATGTGGCAGTGAAAATACAACTTTTTCTGGTGTGTATGTATATATACTCAGATTTGTATGTTTCTTTGAAGTTCCATGCAAATCTACTTAAAAAAACCCTAACCAAATGAAAACAGCCATCCCAAAACCCCACCACCAAACCCAACAACAAACCCACAAAACCCCCACTACCACATAGCTTTTCCCTCAAATCATGGTCAATGTTGTTTGCACAATGGCAACCTTGAGCACAAAATCAAAGGCAAAAAACCAAACAAACAAAAACCAGGAAGAAAGAGTGAATTACCAACTCATGGTAAAGGACAAAGGGTGAGGCAGATTATGACAGCTGAGTGGCTAGGCTTGCAGAGCTGTGCCCACTACTCTGCCTCTCTATGAAGGGACAAAACCATTACGCTTCCACTCCTGTCAACATTATAAAAACGCTGAACTCTCTGAAGATTCTTTAATTTTTGTCATGATAAATTTAACTTTTTTATTATAAACAAGAGGGGATGAAACAACTTCTTAAAATGTTATCCAAATGTGATTATTCAAGCCATACATGCAACATGCTCCGATGTATTTATAAAAATATTACTTTTTTGTCCTTTATGCACACAAGCCAAAGGTAATAACATTACTGAATTACTGCTTAACTATGCTTAACAAATATATTACAGAACAGTCCAGAAAAGATGCATCTCTCTTGGACAGCATATCAGTAGCAGTACATAGTCTTAAAAGCTTTAATTGTACCATTTTCCTATAGTTCTAGCTTGTACCACTCCCTAGTCCATTAAGACCTACCTTTCTCAATGATTTCTTGCCAGAGAGTTTGCACCAAGATAGGATCAGAATGACCTGCACAATGTATAATTGCAAGCTTACACTCTGAGAGCTTAAACGGGTCAGCAAATTCTCCATACAGCTGAAAGAAAAATTACCAGGCTTTACATTTCAAGTAAAAAGGAAATTTTCTCAGCTCTTTTTTATTTTGGATGGTAGATATCACACTAGTGCAACTTAAGTAACTTGTCAAACACAAAGTGAATTTTTTTTAAACTGTATTTAGTTTCACTTCTTAAATACAATCCCCAATTTTATATGACATTATAATTAATATCTTAATAAAGAAGATAAACACATGGAAGAAATTAAAGTATGAAAGATTGAAGGAATATCGAAGTAAAGAAAAAGTCCAGGGTAACAGACTGTCCTGGTTTCAGCTGAGATAATTTTTCTTTCTAGGAGCTGGTATAGTGCTGTGTTTTGGATTTGGTATGAGAATACTGTTGATAACACTCTGGTGTTTTTGATTGTTTCTGGGTAGTTGCAGTGGCTACACTAAGTCAAGGAGTGTAGACTCAAGGAGTGAGCTTCTTATGCCGTGCCATGTGCACAAGAAGCTGGGAGAGCACA